TTGATTCATAGGCATGATACATACATAGATAGGGATCGAATTTCAGCAGCTCTCCGTATTCTTAATAATATATAGGGTGGTCTTTTTGAAATAATCAATTTTAAGTCCCCATTTCAAGCAAACGGAAAAAAAGTATTTTTCTATGACTGTTGAAAACTAGACCCTTCTAATGTAACATTTTTGTTGGGTAACTGGATGCATTACACAAAACAAGCCACCCCCGTGTGTGAGAGCCTTTACACAACAGGCTATGGCCAATCAGCAACAAAGCAGATTCATTACCTACAAAACAGTTGACACCAGTTGTAATGATAATATGGGGCATGCAGTGAAACGTTTGTATCAGACTCGTCATGAAATGTCATAATTTGACAATAGCTATATATCTGGCGTGATTTAGAACTGACTTTTTGTACAAATATGGATTCAGAAAGCGAAAATGAATTCAACTGCTCTCCACCATCAGAAGTTTTGAAAGCTGCCAATTCAAGTACAATCAGCCTTTTGCCCGAGGAATCTAAAAAAAGGTATGAAGTGGTTTGGCGAGAAGCAAAACTTGCAAATTCGTTTTCGGATAATGTACTGCTAGCCTATTTTGGCGAATTAGCAGCTAAACACAAAGCATCCTTCTTGTGGTCACAGTATTCCATGCATATACTAAGAAGCACAATTTCAATAAAAAATCATGTGAATATTGACAAATATTTGAAATTAAGAGCATTTTTAAAATAGAAATCTGATGGATATATGTCAAAGAAAGCGAAGATATTCACTGCTGATGAACTCAACCAATTCATCACTCAGTCATAGAAAAAGTATAGTATTCTACTTGCGTGTAATGGCTATTACTCATTCGAATGATTACGACGTTCGCCTGCGGCTCACGTCGCAAACTTCATTCTCATGAGTGATGGCCATCATTACACGCTCGTCGAATAATATACTATTTTCATCACCCTGCATGGAAGCAAAAAAAATTTGGCTGAAATGTGAGGAACCTTTGAGTATCACCCAACTCCATATCGAATTTTGGTACGTTACAATTTTTGATGAAAAAAATTGACATTGATTTTTATTTCGAAAACGGTAAGGGATAGGTATAGGGAAATATCAAGAAAAATTGTTGGGAAATTGTTGATGATTCTAAGAGTAATATTATATATGGGGTGTCCTATTTGGAATATCAAAGTTGCTACTACTCTCCAATAGAAGTATAGCAACACCGCATCGTCGAAAATATGTCAGTGGGGTGAAGAATGGCGGAATAAGTATGCTCCTCATCAAATTCTCAAAGTGATCCGGTGTCTGATCAGCCTGTCTACACAAATAATTTGTTGCCACACTTCATGAAAGAGAGCTTTCTTCAAAATGAATATTATAGGCATAATAGATGTTCCATCCAGGTCCCATCCAGGTCCAGGACTTCAAAACATTTCTGTCTATTTCGTTACAGTAGATAATATTCAGTAACTTAATACAGAATTTGAAATTATTCTTCAAGATGGTGGGGAGATATCAACTCGATAAGAAATTCTACGAAACATATTACGGAAATGCAGGATCTACTTTATCTAGTATACATCAATTCAATTATCATTTATTAAAGACATATATGGGGGCTTAATAAGATGAAATTTCGCAATTTTTGTTCGCTGTATATGAATACTTCAATGAATATTCTTTCCACTGATGAATTATGAAGGTATATAAAGAAGAACCAACCCCTTTTTCATAAATATTCATTCATCATTCAGGTTATGTTTGTGTTTGTGAAAACTTTAGGAGCTCGCAATGGTAAATGTTCGTTCTTATCACGTCGAGAATAACTTTGGGTGATCGCAGAAAGATATGCTCATTCATTTCCTGTTGAAGAAAATCTCTCGCAATGATAAGGAATATTTCAAATCTGATGCGAGATATACGCGATATCTCTCGGACGACTTCACAGAATATTCCCCATAGTGACAGCCTATAGTGATCTTTGGCATCTCGCAGGAGGATTTCGCATTATGATCCTGAAGATAACGAGATATCGCAGAGACTTCCGTGTTACCTGGATGAATGGGTCTTCAATGGATAGAATCTGAGAGTATCAGCCACAGCCAACCCAAAGAGGTCTTTAAAATATCTCGGCAACCTCCTTCAAGGAAATTGTGACACCTCTCAGTACTAGGAGCGGTTGTCGAAAGTTTTACTTATGCTCCAAATGTCTGCCGCCAGAATATTCTCAACAAGGTCTGAGCGGTATTCCACGAAGGTACAATACCTTCACGCAAGTTTCTTGAAAAATCTGCGTACGAAACCTTGATTCGAAAACTTTTAGAAATTCGCATCAACTGCCACTGGAGAGATCTCTTAATATTCGCGAATCGAGTAATTCGAGATATCCGCACACATAGCCTTGTGGCAAGTACTTCAGGTGTTTCACATCAATTACTACAATTCAAGATATTCGCACAGATAGGCTTGTGGTTAGAAATTACATAGAGTTGCAATAATCTTTACGCGCAACTACGAGTAATCCAAGAAATTCACGAATGAGTTTGCATCACGAACTGTTCACAGGACATTCTAATGATTATCTTTTGGCGAGTTCCTCGAGATATTCTCATATTCATATAAGTTACCACGGTTTCTTGCAGCTTCTAGCAGTCGGCTTGCTGCAAAGTGTAACTAAGATTAATCAAACATTAGTTCCAGCCAGAAAATTAGAACTCACGGGCTCCAGCATCTATGAAATGGTCGAATAGAACATCTGATGGTGATTGATCATGCGTCGAGATTGAGATACAAAAAAATAGAATATCTTCAGAAACAAATATGAAAAACTAATCATAGAAGAAATGTTTTCATAAAATCATTCTCCTCAAACTGTTTCGTCTACGGTGCCCTACCCTGAACTTCATTGATAAATCATTAACAGTTCGACGATTGACTGAAACAAGTTGATTCGACTTTTGTCGGGACGATAAAGTGTGATAGATCTTTCAAAAATATTGAAGACGAACTAGTTTTAATATACTGACCCTCATGTAGACATCGTGAAAAAGAGTTACAGAGCCTAGAAGTGCATCGGTGCGGTACAGTTTTTGCGCGATATCTCATTTTGTATATGACAAACTATATCTTTCTCGTTCAACTACTCATTCACTCACTCAAAAATGTCTAGAATATGTTTTTCTTCATATTTCACCAGGAAATCTAAGTAGGTTACCTCGATTCTTTCTTTAATAATGATTATACTCAAAAAAAGAGTAATAAAAGAACTTTCATCGTCGTGATGTACTTTATCATCCTGTATAGCAATGGCGTGAGTCTTATAGAAAAATGGTCGAAACAATGTAACCTTCCTTATCTACACCTATTAATTGAGGAATGCAGCTTTAATTTTCAAATGTCAATAGTGGCTCATTTCGCCTTCTACTCTGATTTGAAATAATATGAAAATCCTTTTTTTTTCAAGATTGTGAACTCAGTCCGTTTATGTAGATATCTTCCAATCGCTTGTTTATTATTGTTCGGGATATCTTCAAGAACTCGCATCAAGAATTTTTTGGGATGATTTGAAGAACTCACAATAAGAATTTCTAATTCAGATTACGTTCGGGTCAACTGAATGAACCCGCAATGAGTTTATCTTGTCCACGTTACATAATACGTGATAACTTCAGAAATTCGCAGCAAGAATTCCTCATTTAGGTAAAGGTCTAGCTAGCTTAAGGCACTCGCAGCAAGAATTTCTGATTCAGGTTACTTTCGTTATAACTTCTGGAATTCGTAGTGGAAATGGAATCAATAACTGAAATGTGAGGTCTGGAAGATTTCTGCTACCTCACGATAGGAGTTTGCATTTGATCCTTTTGATGATCTCTCTTATCTGGCGGAGAGGAAACAATATTTCAAAATAGTCTGAATCCATACTTTGCAAATAATAGAAAGCTATTGGGGTGAAAGTAGATTTCCGCACGAAATAAAATTCTACTGTTTGTGAAGCAACAAGTGGTCTAGATTTCAAGCGAGGACATGTTTACGTAACGTATTCTAGAAGAATGTTCGACAGCAAATTTCTTTCAGATACACTGATTCACATGAACTTGCTGATGAAGTGCAGAAAACTACCACAACAATTAGGCACAATACATTACATATTGAACATTGGTGATGTAAAAAATTATTATATTCATCATTTTCACCACAGTCCAAAATACAATAGTCCAATAGTTAACACGTTGACTGCCATCTCGGTCGATGGGACCGAGAAAATATCTGTCCCTCAAGCCGACGCGGTTCATATGACCGGGAAGATTTTATGTCTTCCACGCCGGCTCGGTCGATATGACCGAGTCAGTTTTTTGTGTTTCACATGCCAGACTCTCGGTATTGAATGGTTTTAGCAGTAGAAAGTGACCGAGGTGGCCTGTAAGGAACGCTGCGCAGTGCCAGTTTCTGGTGTACAATTTCACAGTATGAAAAATATAGCAAACAACATAATTTCCGGTAGGTACGTCGCCAGCTCGGTCAATATGACCGAGATACATTTTCAAGATTTTCTTCACATCGGTGACGAATATTTCAGAATTTCTTTCATAGAACTTCATGATTTGTTGATATCTTCCTTTGCGCAATATGGCCCAAATAATTAACTTTTTGCCCCATAGAAAATTACCGCCTGGCCCGAACGTAAAATACCATGGAGAACAAAACGGTAGTCAACGTGTTAACAAATGTTCACGAAGTCACAAGTTTGAGTTCCGGTTGGTACGATTGGATGGTGGTGTAGGTTATCTGTTTGAAAATTCAAAAATGCTCAAAACTATACCTAGAAAGCATTGTACGCTGAGCATAACACGTTTTTGCAAGAGAATATATGCATTTCCATGAAGGACAATTTATTATATTTGCTCTGATCAAATGGGTGAGTTATAAGTTTAGCCCATATACCGGACCTATCCCACATTCGGCGACTACCCTCCTTCCAACTGCAGTTGATATTTGCTTACCCTGAATCTTCTCACGGCAAGAATGATGGCTCCGATGGCTGCTGCGACGATAAGCGTCGATCCAGCGGCCAGCAAAATGTACAACCAAGGACCTGTTCCTGGCTTCAGAATGTCGGTTGGTTCTGTTGAGCGTCGTTGCTCTTTGAGACCTATGGAGAAAAGTGAGTGAATTTTTGTATATGGAGGTGGTGTCTTCAACTAGTGGGACACGCGAACGAGTCCAAAAATCCTCTTCATACGTCCGAAATCGAACATTCAAGATAGTCTCCGGTAATAATGTAGGAGTGTTAGCAGAGGACGATCATGAAATGTCATGAAACAAAATGGAGCAGCTGCAGACGCAAGCGTTTCAGTGTTATTGTACTTTCTGATTCCTGAGTACAGCGGCCAAATTACAAGATTTTTGAAACCTTGAGAACATTGTGATCTGCTGTCTGCCAGGCATGTTACAGTTTATTTCAATCGTTGTTCCTATAAATCGTCGGCAACGTAGCGTTATTTGTTTGAGTCTTATTCATCGACCTATTTAACCGTCAAACAGCAATTCAGCACCAACCGGTGCCAACGGCATCACATATATGAATATGGGAGAGCTGTGGCTGCGGAGTGTAGTTCATTAATCTTGAAGCGAGAACCAAAATTGCTGAAAGTGTTAACAGTGAGGATCACTGGTTTGTGCGCATCCTACCTAAATTAATCAAAGCGGTACTGCCACTCGAGAACCCAAGCCGTCGTCACGTTCATTATATACAGGGTGGCTCTTCGAAAACGAAACAGAGACTCTATAGGCCACCAAAACCGGGTTATGAAAGAACTCTGAAACATGTCATCTACATTAACGAAAAGAAGCAACAACTTTTTTTTTTCAAATGGAACACCTCGTATTTCATTGCATTTTTCTGTATCTGTTCCAATTGAATGTCAGTAGATAGTGTATCAAAAGTTGAGATAGAGCCATAGAAGCCGTTTCGACCAATAATGAATAGTTTTGACACAAAACATGCTAAAAATGAAAAATCTCGATTTTGAACACCCTATATCCCTGAAATCATTCCAGCTAGACCCCATGTGTGATGCACTGATGAAATCAGCTCATCTGGGAGAATCTGAAAATGCAATGAAATACAAGGTGTTCTATTTGAAATAACAGAGTTGTTGCTTCCTTTCGTTAGAAGCGGCAAAGTGGTAGGGCTAAAAATATTTTAGATCGTGGTTTCCCCCGAAAATGTAGTGGACGTGTTTCAGATTTTTTCCATAATTCGGTTTTGGCAACCTACAGAGCCTCAATTTCTTTTTCAAAGGGCCACCCTGTAAAATGAATGATAGCAAATTTGTAAGCCTACGGGCATTTGGATCTGAAGAGTGATAGCAGAGTGATATACGCTGAACCTTGATAACTGCATGTGCGCTTCAGTCATTAGTGGAACATACCTAGAAAACTACTGTGAGGAGAAGTTGAGTTGACATTGGGAATTTGACAGGTGTGACAGACATTTCGTCACTTAGTCACTTGGTGATTGCTTTTATCATTTTGCACATATTTATGAAAGGTGTTCGTATAGTATTTACTTATATATTCGCACATGATTCTGGCTATTTTATTCATATGTATTGGGATATAATCTGCGGATATGAGAATGATATTCTGAAACGTACTGGGTTCTGTCGTATGCATATTTATGAGTACTGTAATATGTCATGATATTTTCCTCAGAGGGGCTGGTCCAACTATATGGAGCAGTTTGAAGCAGCTTCCAAAGTCAATGAATGGTCATCGAAGGATAAGGTTGAAGCACTCACAGGAGCTCCACGAGATGATGCACTAAACATTTGAGAAGCCATTTGGGAGGAAACATAGCTAAGACCATCCCACCAAACTCCTCAACAAGCGGTATGGACAATAACCTTTTTCAATAATGAAAATGATGGAAAGCCCTAAGGACCCCGCACATTTAGTACGTAAAATGGCTTTCGGCTAAATTTTCTGAAAATTTGATATGTTTAAGACATTATCGTCCTTATCACACAGTCCAATTCACAGATCGATCCTATGACCAGTTTTCGAGCTACAGGGTGTCAAACATTAGATTTTGGCTGTTTAGAATATTTTGCATCAATTCGAATTATGTGCTCTAAGTCGTGATTATTCTTCAGTAGGAATGAACTCTTCACGTCTAATATCTACCTCATGAATCCCTCTATTCGGTTAGAGGATAATATCACATACAGAGTATTGCATTCCATCATGACAAGGTAATATGCTTGGGAAAAGACAAATATTGAAAACATCAGAATTTTGATTTTTACTCAATCACTGAAAACTTGAAAACAAACGGCTAGAATCGGCCAATTATGTGACACAGTATGAGTCTTGATCATAAACATGAGGAGTCATATGATTACCTCTGATACCATGTCCAGTTGGCCATATATAGGGTGATGACAATTTGAAAGCTTATAGAATATATGTAACTCAGTTACAAAATGAGATACATTTCTATAATATATGAAGTGGAAAATGAAATGTCTCATGAAATAACCCACCCCCACCAAGCCCCTGATGAGTCACAACCACCCCAACGCATATCATCTCAATAGTAGCCCCTACTTATTGTGATACCTCATTGAATAGCTTGGTGAAAATACATTTCAGTGGTATCATTCATATCTCGAACTGGGTGAACTAATAAAAAATATTCATCACCTATATCATTCTGCTGGGGTGACGTATTAATTCCGTAACTTTTTGTAGTATGGGAAGAAATCGTTATTATCGAGCATTATATAAATAACCATAAAAGTGAAATTGCTTATGTGAACAGTTGGCTATTGAAGCGAGAGAAAACTAAAATCTACAGAATGTTCTAGCAACCTAACCTAACCTAACCTAACCTGAGATGGTCAGACGGTAAGGACATAGCTCCATTCAATCCAGCAGAACATCTCCAAGATAGAAGTTGTAAAACTGTGACATGTTTGAATTCTCAAGAGAATTTGTATTTTGATGATTGTCAAAAGCTGCTGATAGATATTTTTCACATTCTGGCGAGATGGTCATATTGAGACAAGTTGTCAGATACCATAATATGACATCAAGCATTGCTATAGATGAACTGATAGGCGAAAGCCATGAATGATAGTACATAATGGGTCGCACTGTTGATGGCGATTTCCGACAATATTGTTGCTTGGGTCTTCGCTGGAATTCAGCAGAGATCGTTCACTATCTATATCTGCTTGAAGACTATATATATTTCATCCATGCGGTTATTTTTGCATATTGTTATGTGCATTACAAACTGTTTTGGAGTCTGAATGGAGCTGAGTAATATTTCTGCATTGGTAATCAGTATTCCTATTGTTTTGGAAAAAACTATTGAGATGATATGCGTTGGGGTGGTTGTGACTCATCAGGGGCTTGGTGGGGGTGGGTTATTTCATGAGACATTTCATTTTCCACTTCATATATAATAGAAATGTATCTCATTTTGTGACTGAGTTACATCAATTCTATAAGCTTTCAAATTGTCATCACCCTATATATGGCCAACCGGACATGGTATCAGAGGTAATCATATGAATCCTCATGTTTATGATCAAGACCCATACTGTGTCACATAATTGGCCGATTCTAGCCGTTTGTTTTCAAGTTTTCAGTGATTGAGTAAAAATCAAAATTCTGATGTTTTCAATATTTGCCTTTTCCCACGAATATTACCTTGTCATGATGGAATGCAATACTCTGTATGTGATATTATCCTCTAACCGAATAGAGAGATTCATGAGGTAGATATTAGACGTGAAGAGTTCATTCCTACTGAAGAATAATCACGACTTAGAGCACATAATTCGAATTGATGCAAAATATTCTAAACAGCCAAAATCTAATGTTTGACACCCTGTAGTTCGAAAACTGGTCATAGGATCGATCTGTAAATTGGACTGTGTGATAAGGACGATAATGTCTTAAACATATCAAATTTTCAGAAAATTTGGCCGAAAGCCATTTTACGTACTAAATGTGCGGGGTCCTTTCGAGTGACAATGGGAAATGAAAAAACTCCACCGTCCCGTGTGAGAGTCGAACTCACAACCTCTGGGTTACATGCCTAACACTCTGCCAATTAAGCCAACGGGCCGTCCGTCGATCAATCGGCAGGGAGGTCGAGTTCTCATCACACACTAGGCGGCAGAATCCTTCCAATTCCTGAAGTCACTCGAAATCATGCACTAAACGAAGCATCGCTGGCAGGATGGTACTATACAGTCTCCATATTTCCCCGTTCGTCCTCTGGCATTGTCTTTCCTTGTATACGGAAATGTCCGCAAGCAATCTATACATAGGAGTGGGTTATAATTTTTGTCGGTAACTCGACCGAGAAGATACATATAATAATAAAATAAATTGTCAGCAAATATTTTGATCGCAAACTAAGAACCACCGACAGAGAGATAACAAGAGCCTGTAGGAATTTGGAATGGAAGTAATTCGGTTGGTTCGTTGTGCCTAACCAACAGCCCCTGAGATTCGAAGCGGTTCGTTTGACTCAACCTAAAAACTTCCATAGTGCTCTGACAGCTGCGATTGTGATCGAGGCCGCGACAGCAGCAACAAGAGGAGCAACAAAGTTTAGACCTTGGATGGCAATGAGTTCAACGCTGAGAACCATAGTCATGATTCTACTAAAGACCTTATCAGCGCCATCAAGGGCCTCTTGGATGAGGAGAGAAGACAAGTTCGGACAGCTGCAGGAAAACTAGAGCAAGAGAAATGCGCACTGTTGGTGGATACTAGTGCATCAAAAACGATCCTACAACCTGGACTTCTGGTGTCTCCAAGAGAGAAGTTTGTGAAATCAAGATGGCGTCTGAAAACTGCTATGGCTGAAGTTGATATCGATATGGATATATCGATCAAAACCGTCAAATGTCCACATCGAGCTATCATGGCAGATATTGAAAAATATATTATTCTGAAAATGGACATCATGGGTGCGCGAGTGATTCAACTGAACATTAGAAGCAGAACACTCAAGGTGGGTTGTACTGTTACCAAATCGGAGCGAGACCATTGTAGCAGCTCGGATTGAGGGTATATTGAAGCAGGACAGTCCCATCATTATGGAACCCTGAAACCAGGAGGAGGTTG